AGGGGGTTTTCAATAGCCAGAAATCGCCAGACGGGAAGGGGTGGGACACCAGTATTTGCGGAGGTGGCCTTCGCTGGCAGAAGGAAATCTGGCAAAGTGGTTATACCATGAAGAACGCGGTGTCGAACGGTGGCTTTTTTATGCTCGCAGCACGTCTCGCTTGGTACACCCAAGAGAACGACTACGCTACGTGGGCTGAGAAAGTCTGGGACTGGTCCACCTCTGTGAATTTGGTCAATAATGAAACCTGGGCAGTGGCAGATAGTGTCAGACAAGGCTCTGGGGGCCCCAATGGCTGCACCCTTCCTGACAACACCCGGTGGACATACAACTATGGTACATATCTGTCTGGCGCTGGTTATATGTATGCCTATGTAAGTATACTTCTTTTATTCCCTATCCCTTTAATAACCCAGAACTACACACCCAGTTTTGATATGGTAATAACCAAATCTCGATATAGACAAATGATACTAAATGGCTTGATATCACAAACAACCTATTGGATTCATTGTTTACTACCTTTTTCCTACCTGAACACGGAGATGTGGTCACCGACTGGCGGTGCGAAGCTGTGGGCCAATGCTATAAAGACGCGAATGGCCCACTTTTCAAAGGCCTTACGGTGTCGTGGCTTTCAGATATTGCATTGGTCATCCCTTCCCTTAGGGAGAAGATCCTACCCAAACTACAAGTTTCTGCCGAGGGTGCTGCAAAGTCATGCACCGGCGACGGCAAAGACCTCTGTGGTAACCGCTGGTACGGGGGGTATGATGGACAAAATTCAATGGAGAATGCAATCAGTGGTAGTCAGATGATGAGTGCTGTTATGCTGAAATTTCTAGGCTCATCCTCAAAACCAGTCTCGACAGCAACAGGAGGAAATGGTACAAGCGACCCGAGTGCTGGTAGTAGGGGAAGGTCGGGAAATGCACCGTTGGCTCCTATCACAACGGCAGATAGAGCAGGAGCTGGAATCCTGGCAGTGCTTTTCGTGGGTGCTATGATAGGCGGGGTGGTCTTTTTGTTTATGGACCCCTGAGCCAGGGCGAAGCTTCCGGGCTGATGTATATTTTGAGTTCACATAAGAAGATTCTTTTTCTGCTCACTTGTAGCTTGTGGTCGCCTAACTAGAGAGTCCAATGCGCTACTCAAAGTAAGCTATTTATTAAGGAAAGGGATAGACGGGGAAATTGTTGAGAAGCTAAAGAATAAGAAGTACAAGAAGAAGAAGTGCCAGTTGTTGTTCTTTCGCAGGCGATACTCACACCCTTGATCTCATTATCCATGCGGTCCACAGATGCCTTAGCCCGGAATTTCAAGTTCGTGATCATGTCTTTATGGAGGAACAGCGCTTCTGAGAGCCGCCTTGCTGCAGGTAAGAAGTTGGTATCCACAGATTATGGCGTCGTACGATGGCAGCAAGGTTACTAGAGGTCGCATCATATATTCAGAAACCTGGATCACATGTCCCGATAATTCATGAAGCCAACTGCATCACTCGACAAGGAAATCGAATATTTTGTCCTTATCAGTTGATCCTATTTCTCTAAATGGCTCTTGACCGCGACACTAGAATTTGTTATACATTCGTCGCGTGTAAACCATTGGAAATAGGCAATACCTTCTCTATATCTCGGACTGAATTTTGGAAGCTGTAGAGAGCTCACACTGCTCTACTACGATATTGAGTGCATACTCGAGCATGAGGAGCGGGTCATTCTTCCAATATTTGAGATCGGTTTCACGCAGCAGACGTCTTAGTCGGAGGGTAATATCGTCGTTGAGATCGAAGCAAAGTAGCAAATGGGTCTCATCAGAAGATGCATCCGTCCTAGCTTGGTCACTGTCTCCAGTAGTGTTGACAAGTGATGACCGCCACAGCGTACAGAATGCCATATAATGCCAGTTGTACTCATATTCAGGGGCAGGGGTTGCGATGGCATTGGTGTAACGGGGATCTCCTAGGTTTACCCTTTCAGCGCCCTTTCCCTTGACGGCCATGGAATCCTTTCCAGGACAAAGCCCAGCCTCTGCGAGATTATTTCGATATTTGCCGCTACCCAAGTCCTGTCTCGATGACTGCCACCCCGCCTCCCTCTAATCCTATCGACCCCGTCTCCAAGAGTCAAAGAAGTCATGCTCACAAACCTGGTCGGCATCCGCTTCTTGCCCGCCCGCCGTTGAGGCTTGCTTAGATAGCGGCCTACATTCGGACGCTTAAACCACTCGACACGAGCCGAAGGATTTGGGCTGTACCATCTTTCACCAGTTCTCACGCCGAGACTTTCGACTCTAAAGGCCTTTTGCAATTGCAAGCTCTAGGAGGCACCGAAGATATTGATTCTGCCACAATACCCGATAATTTTGCCTGAATGCTAAGCATCGATCCCACTTTCTAGATCGCGCCACTCGGAGCCTGCCGTTATTGCTTGTCATCACCCTCAAGCCGTCGATTCTGGAAATCACATCCGGAACGGAGACCCTCCAGGCAATAAAGCCATCCGTCCCGCAATCCTAAGCGATCATAACTCCCCTAGTTCTGAGCATATCCAAGCAATGGAGAGTATCACCAGTGTCTTCCCTAAACGCCCTGATCCGCTGATATATTTTTCCGCTCCGGGCCAAAGTTGCCCAGGTGCTTCGAAGATGGGTATTTAAGAGCACACTGGTCCTAGTTGAATCTGCCACAGACTTCTATCATACATACATATTTTGCACCGTATACAGGTCATTGTACGTCTCAAATGCGAAGGAATTGTCTATCCCTTCACTGACTTAAGTCTTCAACTAGTCCGATCCCATATGTTTCGTAGTGTTTTTCGGCCCTTACACACCACCGGAAGCGCTCGTACCGCGCGATATTTTCACCGGGTCACAACAGATTTCGTTACCCATGATGCGAGAGGAAATCCAGTACTAGGAAGGTGCCTATTATTATCGGCAACCCGGGAGAAACTTATGTTTTGATTGAGCAAGGGGTTGGTAGTGCACTCCGTACTGCCAGTCCCTTTACATTAGCGTCTGCAGCTAGTGCTGAAGATCGATGTAAACTTACATTTTTCCATGATTCGCAACACTTTGGGTTTGGTAAGTTGTTAATGTGCGAGAGTTTTATACAGCCGATACTAACAGTTTGTTTTCATTGCTAGGATCATCGAGTTATCCCCGACTCTATATCCCAAGCCAAATCCCTCGCCAAACAGAGTTAAATACAAGCCCCGCAACTTTGTTCTTAGCCGGAAAGATGCACCAGCTAGTTCTCGATGGAACTCCTGATGGTACAATACAGTCACAAATCCTTCCCGTCTTACGCATGCTGATCCATAATGACTATCTAGCAATTTTTGCGGAGCACGCGTGTGCTAGTTTCAAGAATCTGGAAAGCGTACTCAATCAGCTGAAGGATATGTGATGTCAAGCTTGATTTCCCTGCAGCCATATCGGGAATCATTTGATATAAGACCGTGGAGACGGGTTGCCAATTTACGACTAGAACCTGGGAGAAGGGTTATTGGTAAATCAGAAATCCATCTAACTATGACACGCTCGATCTCGTGTTTGTCTCATGAACGTACTAAAAGGCCGATACCTGCGACTAGAATTTCAAGGCGGGACTGCAGGAAATCCTTTCCAAACTAGCGCCCCAGTCAGTTACGAGATGACTTCAAGTCCCACATTACACTGTGAATATATAAGAGCTGTGACTCGCATAATGTCCTTTTCTGAGTATCAAGGTCCCACCGTAGGTATTGATTTTTGAACGATCGTGGAATACGACATCTGATTGCAAGGGCTTCGTCGGCAGCTGGCTCATGTTTGATCTCTATGCCGTCAATACACATGAAACCGGTACCGAGGCAGAAGAAAAAGTTGGATCTACCTCAGGTTAAATTTCAGCATGGGAAGGAAGTGATGCGGGACGCGCGTTGCAATTGGAAGGGTCCAAATTGTGTATCATTGGATAGACAGGTTCATACTATGATCGAATGACCGCCTCTAAAGAAGCATGTAAGATTTGGGTCTATTGAGGAGTACCTACACCTCGAAAACATCATATATATAAGCCATTCCTCGCTATTCCACCCCCCGTTAGATTCCAATTTCCTACTTCAATGTGTCATTGACAGATAAACCACTGAATCAATGCCTCATAAAAGTATTATTGCTAGCGGTGGTGGGCAATTGTGAATATTATAGGTCGGCTCTCTGGGATTCCAGCCATCTTGACGGCCTGATGGATAATATGATGCCTGATAAGAAGTTTGTTTGCCCACAACATGGGGTTCCATCTCTATTTTGGCTTGCCGGTGGTATAGGGGAGCCGGTGGTAGAGGGGACCTCAAGGGTCTGGTATGCAGCTAAATCCACCAGGGAGTGAATCACCCTCGGCTTCCTATCCCAAACATAAAATAACTTCAGAGAGTTACTATTTGCACACCGCTAAATGACTGATGGCACAGCTGTTTAAACTACTACGGGTATAGCGCCATTTGGACAACACTTTTTGCTGACTGTGAAAGTTACTACTTCCCAATGTGGGTACTACCTACCGAGGTAGGTACGTTGTAGTATGCCCTTAATAAAGGCATCGTATGATTATCAAATGATCCATACTATGGCTAAGGATGGACAAAGTCACATAAGCGTTCTGTCATTTACTAAGGGCATACCATGGTTAACTCGTTACCTACCTAGGTAACTACGTAGCAACCTCCTACAGTCAGCAAAATATGTTATCCAAATAGTCCTATACCCGAAGTAGCTTAAATGGTGCGCCACTAGTCATTTAGGAGTGTGAAAATAGTAACTCTGTAGCATTAATACATAGCTGCCTAGCTAGTTAGCTCCATCTAGCGGGGGGGAAATGGTTACATTGCAGCTGAGTGAGAACTAGTAAGCATTAATAGTTGCGCTAGCCCCAGCTAGAAACTCGAGTATTAATAGTATTCTCGTGCCCCTCTTTTGATTCATATTTTCAACTTCGCAATTTAACCAAGATGACATCTCTCCCACCCCAGTACGAGATTCGCGTTCTTGGACCAGAACATGAAGAATGGGCTCGCGCAATTTGCATTCATACAAATTTATTCCACTCCCCACTCTGGCCGGTTGTTTATCCCGAGAACAAAACCCAGCGGGCCTACCAGACATTTCGCGCTTCGCAATATTTAATGAAGCACCAGATCGATTCAGGGAAATCACTTGGTATCTTCGACAAAGACTACCAATACAAGCGACCCGGGTCTGCGGCCACTGGCGGCAAGCTGTACTGGAATCTGGATGATGAGAATGCCACCGAAAGTGAGCTTGCGGAGCAGATGGACTTCCCACTAGTCTCAATTGCCATGGCCTACGATGGCATCGACGAGTTAGACATGGCCCAGATCAAACCTCTGATAGAAAAACTGCCCTTGTTCGAAACACTCTACCACTCCCTGGAGGAGCTAGATCAGCGCGATCCTGCATCGTGGAAGCCCACTGCCCGCGGACAAGTCCTGATGCGCAACGCTACCAACACTGTCCGATCTTATTCCGGTCATGGGCTTATGAGGCTGCTCGCTGAAGAGATGATGAGACGTGCGGCAGCTGAAGGGTTCCGGGGTATCCAAATCGAGAGTATTTCTCCGGCCGTGCAGAAGGTGTGGTCGAACCCGCCGTCACCGTTCAAAGGGACTATCATCAGCCAGTTTCACACGACAACTTTCGAAAAGAAGAACGAGTCAGGGGAGGTTTTGTATCCGTTCCGACCGGCAAATGTGAACATCTCCAAAATCTTTGTCGACCTCCGATCTTAAATTCATGAGGTTAAATTCGCCCCTCAACACCAATTAATATATATAAGCCTTGGTATGCAGTTAATAAATCATATGAGAGTAGGTTGCGGAATATAGCGTAGATTGTAGGAGACAGCCGGAGTGCTCCCTCCTAAAGGTGTACAGTTCGATATCTACCTGCTCGCTGTCTGGCTTAGGATGTGGACCACAAGAAGACCGCAGATGAATTAGTGCCCATTCTACAAGGAGCTCAATCATAACTCTGCTAATTGCTCTCTGAACCCAAAGGACCATAAAGATAAGGATTCGGCCACGCCTGAATCGGCTGCCGAAACTGATATAAATTAGGCTACTACGACATCTGCTTCAACTAACAATTCTAGGTATCCGTCTGCCACCTACATTGGCACTAGCAAGAAGCATATAAAGTTTGTCATATGTCTCATTATCTATTTTCTCGTGCCTCTTGTGACCTCTGGAGATCCTCAGACCTCAAGCTAGAGGAAAATCTGTGTAAGGGGATGTTGCGTATCAAATGTCGAGTTGTGCTGTGGATGCTACCTGCTCCTATCGCTATTGATTCGCGGTAGACACCGCCGTCTAGGCACGTCACTTTAACCTGGTCACGCCCTTTGTCTCGATATTGCTCAACTAGTCCTTCAATACATTACGGAAAGAAAGGAAGCAATGGATTACTATCACTTGCTACAAGGAACCAGTCCTCATCTCATCCAAATTAGGAACGCAGGACATACAGCAACAGACACGTTGAAAGACAAAAGAAACGCCCACAATGCATTATATCTTCAAAACATTATAGTCCTTCGTTGGCCATCATCAGTAGCGCATAACCGCACAGATATCTTCGTGACTGGTCCTTGTTTGTACGTGCGCCCTGCACTCTCCGTTCAAGACGTGGCAAGCAGTTTCTGTTGCGTTTCGGTGGTACTCAACACCCGGTTGAATAAAATGCAGAGAGCGGAATCAATCAATGTTCCACAAAGCAGTCCGCTCTCTAGGAGCAACGACCACAGCGCTGCAGAGGCCAAAACAACGAATTGCAGAGTGCAGAAAGGGCCCACCAACTCTTCGGCATCAAGAATCGCCAACACCAGTGTCGACAATAAGTACCCGGAGAACCCCCATTCGACACACACTTCAAATAGGAGACAAAAAAAAATAGAAAGAGCACATCCAGAAACAATCCAAAATCATAATGGCACAGCCATATACCTGTTCTCACTCTCGCATTCATCCTCACTCCCACCCTCACTTCCACTCAAATCCCGACTCCCATACCCAGAATCAGACCACCGCCTCGCACCAGGCGAAACAGCATATATCCCGCGTCCCGAGTGTCTGTCACAGGTATATCCAACCAGGACGGTCTTTTCCTGTACTTCATGGCCACGCTGTCCATAAGCGGAGCACGGGTCGATCGAATGCTCGAAGTAGAGACATTTGCAGACAGAGTAGCGTTCGACGACTCTGTAGCACATTTTGCGTGTGGTATTAGGATTCGGGGTAATGGAATGATGAAGGATGGTTGTTCAGAGTTGATTGTTTGAGATTCGAAAGAAGAAACGAACCAGCCGATAGGATGAAGAAGGAGAACAAGTAGAGAATGGAAAATAGAACTGAGTATAGAAAGAGACGCTGTCTCACGAAAGAATGACCCGAAACGAAATTAGAGGGAGTGACTGGTTTGAGGGGCATATAGAGGGACTGTGGGTTATATATGCAGCGATTATCGAACCGATATATCTATAATTATGGAGATAATACAATAACAGGATATAATAATAAAATTATAATATAATATAATAATAAAGTAATAACGGTAGATCCATCAGCCCTATGGGTTGTAGCCCCAGGCAGAAACCAAACGGGGCGCCCAATACGTTAACGAACCTGAAGAGAAATTAGTGTGAATAGTTACTCCACCGCATAAATCGGCACTGGATGTCGAGATGAATCTACATGGGTCGAGCCTAGCAGAGTATCGATATTACCCCTCCCTGCTGTAGTAGTGGGTGACTGTAGAGGATAACAGGGTGATACACAGTAAAAGACCAGTCCAGTCCCATCCCCTCAGCTGGAATGTCCACATCTCTGACTCCGAAGTCTCATCATAACACGAACAGTAACAAGTGATCTACAAGTGTGGCAGGGAAGCAAAGACGGTGGAGACATGGTGAAGACGCCCAGCAATCCAGTACAGTGAGCCACAGGCTGCGCAGCCACAGAATAGTGAGCAAATTGGATTAGCACGCGATCAGGAATAACGGATTGCCATATGACTGGTTAGTTGGTGTCGATCATGACTCTGAAGTGCCCAGGTGGATATCGGGGCGTTTTGAGTCAGAGCCTCTTAACACAGCCCCCTGTCACTTCCTCGACTAGTACTGCGGCTCAAAGGGTATAGGGCTGTGACCTGTTCACCGCATATCAATGACTACATCTCCATACAAATGTTATCTTTTCTGTTGTAATCTGTCGCATTCAAGCGGTGACATTTCGTGTTGGGTTGAGGAGCGGATTAGGCGCCCGCATTCAGCTGCTGACGCTAATACTAAGTTGCCTAGGTACCGATGGAGGGATTCCGCGGGAACCGTTTTTGTTTTTTTTTTAGCTGACCCCAATCACTACGTTTTCCCTGGCATGGGAGAGAAGATACCTCGTGGGATATTCGTCAGAGGCCGTAGGGCTGAGGGCTCGAGCCCACTTGGATGATTGCCATTTTGGGTCGGAGGGGCAGGAAAACAAGTCATACTACAGATATGCTCAACAATATATGCAGAAACCCTAGAAACAGGCCCTAAAAGGATTAAGTTGCATAGTAAGTCTGATATCGTACAGCGCCTGTCACAAAGACAAAGGGTCCTGGACAGTAGAAGAGTGTGTGTGCAAGTGGTACTAAGCTAAATTCATTTCCCGGATTAAAAAGAAACACCGCCTCCCTCTTACTCTAACTCCGTAATTTCAGATCGACCCCATTGCGCCGTGACTCAACCCGCGTGCTAATCCCAGTCGAAGCATCTGGAGGATATCTTCGCCCTTTGCGGTCTCGGGAAGCCCGGCCCGCCAATCCCATCCGCGATCGGCGCGCGCTTTGTCACCTGGCGCGGGCACAAGGACGCCTGAGCTGCCTACAGATGTAGGGCCAGATCCTGAGCCGGAGCGTGTGCGCGCTGACTCGAGCATGTCGTTGCCGATGAAGGCGAAGCTAGAGGCGGAGAAATTGGACACGGATTTCTTCAATAGCGCGCGGGGGGAGGGTGGCCCATCTGATCCTCCCCGTGTCGATGATTGGTATTCGAGTAGGGTAGAGCGGAAACATTCCTCGCACTGTGCATACACACGGGGGGTGACAGTTTCCAGGTCTTCGATTGCGGACAGGATGGTGAACTGCTGGGATACGGAGAGAACTGCAGTGGGTTCTGCTTGGGTTAGTACCAGACAAAAGCATCGACGTGGTTAGATTGGGAGACTCACGGTTCACAAACGCACAGGCTTCACCCAGGAGAGCCAGTAGTCCATCCACCTGCACAGCGGAATCACGGTCCGGGTCGTAGAGACCTCCGTAAATATTATCCGCCGCACTCCCAATCACAGCTGCAAGAGCCTGCGCAGCAGCGCGTCGCCGAGCCAATGGCTTGTAGCGTGGTCGCTGGCCCTCTTGCAGTTCAAAGTCCTCATCGCGAATCTCATAGAACCGGCGCAGCGTTGCGTAACCACTGAGATAGAACTGGAGAATCCTAGCAGCTTCCTCGTCGACTTGTGCAATGGACGACAGGCATGCTTTGGGTTCCTTCATCAAAGAGCGCAGTTGTTCATCGAGATCGGCTGTCGCAGGGTATGCCCGTGATTGAACCAAGCTGTAGGAAATCAAAAGGTCGACAACTGACTTGACCTTGCGTCGGCTCTGAGCACGAGCATAGCAGACGAGCGCCAGACCGAAGTTTTCGGACTTCGAGGTCAACATGTCGCCGAATCGCTGCCAGTAAAGTTAGCATATGGTCAGATAGTCAAAAGCAATTCCCTTCTATCACTCACCTCAGATACCCGACGCCCTTGATCCTCCAGCTCAAGTTCAGAGCAGAGAACCACCAGTTTATCCAATTGATCAGGGCTTTCCAAAGGAAGCTTATCCACGATCTCGGACACAGCCTTCTTCATCTGGGTTCCATCGTCGAAGCGGCTCAATACCTCAATAGCCAACTCCCAGCCTTCACGGGAGCTGTGCTCGTTCTCGATAACGGGGCGGTCATGCAGTCCGAATGCGTAACTGCGAAGAATATCGTCCTTGTGCAAATAGCGGGCTGGAGACTTGTTATCCTGCCCGTACGAAAGAACCATAAGATCATTCTCAGACAGACCAGGTAGAGTCTTTTGGCTGCTTCCGGACTCAAACCAACCTCCTAGGCTAGCAACTTCTGCCACAGCCGCAGCCACGCAGAGTGACCATGACTGTACCAACTCCAATACGCCCTGCACATTGCCTTCGAAGACAGACGCAAGACCGACTTCCACGCTGCTGAGCGTATTGGGTCGGAAATCAGCGTTGTCGGACCCATCGCTGGTGGTGTGGCTGAGCGCTAGTCCGAGGCGGTCGAGGTAGGCGCCACGCATGTTGCGATCAACAGCGCGAACGTGGTTCTTTGGGCCGCGCGAGCGCAAGAAATCTTGGAAGTTGTCGCTCGATGAAGTGGCGCCAAAATCCATGCTGGAACCGGTGTCATCCTCACCATCCCACCATGCTGTCAACGCAATAGTCGCCTCGACCCAGTCTTGAGACTTGCCCTTGATGGCAGATGGGTCGCCCAGAATAATTCGGTAGATAGATCTCAAGCTCTGATAAATTGACCATGGAACACGGCTCTCTGCCATGCGAGCCGATTGAGCGAATGAAATCGGGTTCTTGTGGGCGGTGTTTGGGTTAAAAGTGGACAATCCGAAGTTGATGGCCTGGAAGCGATTCTCTGGAATCGGCACAACCGATTCATCCCGCTCCTCTCCCTCGGCGAATTCCTCCAGGTCAGTGACAGCCGAAAGCACCCGTTTCCGGTATTGAGACCAATCGAGACCGGTGACCTCCCAGTCTTCAGATTGGGTTCCAGGACATGATTCAAGAATTTGAAGAGCCTTGTTGATGCAGCGCTGGATATTCTGCAGTTGTGCGCCGCGGTAGCCAGGCTGCGGGAGTCCATCCTCCAATGCTGATCGGGCGTAGTTGAAGTCTGCGGAACGGAGAACATCTGCAGCATCAGTCAAGCGACCACGCAGCACGGAAGCAATGATGATATCCCAGAAGTTTGAGGATGCGGTGGGGTTCGGTTCCACATATTTCAATGCTTGAAGATCCTTGGTCTGCGATGCGTGGTTTTCGCTGAGCCAGTCGAGCAAAACCTGTGGTAGGGGTTTAGGAACTGGGAGTCTCGTCATGGCTTTCACCATACCAGCTGCCCCGGTGCGCATGGGGTTGATATTAGCAGTCGAGGCAGCTTCACGAGAAGGGTGGTGGATTTGGAGCAGCAACGAAGCTAAGAAGGTGGCCTTCACAAGGTCGGGAGCCTGCTCCCCGGGCCCAACACCAGAATGGGCACCGTAGGGTCGGTCAATCCCACTTTCATCGGCGGAAGCCTGCCAACTCCCCGCCAATTCCTTTGATACGTTGGCCAGTACAGCGTCAAAATCGACGTGTCTGAATTCCGCCGCTTTGAGCTCGTCGGAAAGTCTCCCCAGGGCATCCTCAGTTCTGAGAATCACCTCACTTGGCTCTTTAACAAGGGCAATGCGGGATCTGGCAGCAAGGTTGTGAAGAATGGATGGCATCGCGGAGGGCTTTTTGGGAGACAGGTGGGTCTTGCGGAGAGGCGACTGATGCGCCCAATGCTCGTCAAGCTTCGGTCGCTTAGCATCGCTTGGATTCGTATAGATCGGTTTGCGCTGTGCACCCATGGAGGGCTGGGACTCGAAAGGGTTTCCGAAAGCAGAGTCTAAGAAGCTGAAGTTCTTGGACCGATCCCGGGTGCTTATGTCCAATTCTTCTTCAGCTTCCTGCTCCACTTCGAGCTCCTCTCCCTCCGGTTCCATCTCGTTTTCCTGCTCTTCGTTAAAGTCACTCATTTGCGACGAGGCAAACCCATTAGACTGTCCGAAATTCATCGAATCCCCAAATCCGCCTGCATTCGGCGCACCGAAACGGAAACTAGAGTTTCCTGTGAGCTTGGTGGAAGGGGCTTTGGTCTGCTTGGGCATGGCATAATCCGTCGATCCAAAGGATGAACCGAAGATGCTGTCATTTGTATTGATGTTACCGGATTTGGTAAAGACAGAGTTGGAGAAGTCATTTCTCGAGAAGGAGTTCTGGTTGGTAGAGAATGCGCTATCATTTCTGGAGAAGGAGTTGATGCGCGAACCACCGTTGATGTTGGATGTAGAATGCGGTATGAATGAGCCTGCAGTTGATGGTGGCGGGCCAGCAGGAGTTGTCGACAAATTGCTCCAGAGGCTGCGAGAGCGATCTTTCTCTGGAGTCTCAGGTGGGCTGGACTCGTAGGGTACTTGGAACGACATCGCGGGGTGGGTTGATCAGAAAGAGAAGAGACGGGTTGCCGGCATCAGAGGATGCAAGCTTTGGGCTGCAACAGCTCTAAGAACTGTTAGATGGAACAAACGACAATCTCAATCGATAAAGAGTAATTCGCCAGCCAGCGAAGAAGGTCGATGCAGTCGATTGCTTTTCAGAGAAGTTCCCTCTTCTCCAGACTTGCTTGTTTTTCTTGCCCTTCACTTTCCGCTTCGACGCGACGGCGGAAATTATCAGGCGTTCAGGCATCAATGACCAGATCATGTGATGTTAGAATATTGGTCACGTGGAATTGCTTACTCAGACTACGTAGGTTTGGAGCCTTGAAGATCAGGCCAAATAGATAACGTCACGTGGCGACCGCTCACCAATTTAGGGGCCACAACTTGATTGGCCCATTGCCCTGCACTGCCAGGCACTGCCAGCGTCAACTGGCAGGGCTCAGCAGTTGGGGCCAAACCTGATGCATCTGATTGCCTGAGGACTCGAAGGACACGCTTAATGAGCTCAGCCTTGCAAAGATGGATCCCGTATCTTGTTTGAATAGGGTTGACCCTCTAATGTATCTGAGGACCAAGAGATATATAATGAACTCACTGGTCTCGAGATCTTAGGAAATAACCACAAATCTACTGCGGATAATACCATTCCCAAGTTCACCACATCTATCATGACTCCAGCTGCCCAGTATCTCATCACGCACAGCTTCTGGCGCCACAACTACGATGTCAGCACGACAAACAAAACACACCTCTTCCACGTCGCCAACTCCTCCTTCACACCAGGAAAGCCGGATCTTACTTTCCACCGCACCTCCGACTCCAATGGGCCCATTGTGGGAGTGTGTAAGTTCCGGCACTTCTCCTCAGACTGTGAGATTGGTCTAGGGGACCCCGAACGGCCCAACAAAATGGATTGGGAATACCTGCACAAGCGAGGCTTTACGAAGCGCATATATTGGTTCCATATGCAGCTAGACGACGGCACAAAGCAAACTTTTACCTGGAAACGAACACACTCGCTTGGCAGTGGTTATGAAAACCATAAACTAGTCGAGGAGACCAGCCAGACTGTCGTGGCGGTCTTTTCTTCCGGCGGCATCTTCTCCAAAACAACCGGTTACTTGGATATATACTTAAATCTGGGGCCGCGTTTCTACCTTATGGCACTTATCTCGGGAATCGCCTTGATCGAGAAGGGGAGGCGCGCCAAACAGACCACGGCGGTGTCGGGTGCTGCTGCAGGTGGGGGTGCGGCAGGATCATGTTGTTAGGCCAAGACTTGAGGTTTCACCGATCGCGTTTTTATACCGCACAATGGCTGAGGCCACAAGAATCTTGGAGGGCGAGGTCTACGGTCTATTTAGTGTTATTTTAGCTATACCCTTGGCGCAAGTGCCACACTCTCTTAAATTTCTTTAATTTGTTTTAGCTACGATACACGGTGCTTTGTACCAAGTGAACTACATATATGTACCTAGATTAACGGTTAATCAAAGGCTCGCTTCAAATGTCCAAAACTAAGTGAGGCAGTGCAAGTAAGACAAGGTTTCAGATTGGACAAGCCTTTTTTGATGTTTGATCGACAGGGTTTCGTTACATAATCATATACTATCGACCCCGGCAAGTCCGGGGTCCACGGGACCCGACACCTCGGGAGGTTGTGTCGAATCCTGTTGCCTGCCTTAAGGAAAAAGACAGCCCTAAAAAATCTAGAGCCTCCGGTTTTTGCTTCTTCCGGACTATGGACACTCCAATAATCGCATGACTATGGCGCTC